CAGCTGCAGGCAGGGAACTTTGGTTTCCTCTGTCACTGAGGCAAGCAAGCCTCATGTTAGTTTCAAGCTGCCTGGCTGCCGGCGCCATCTTGGCTGTCATTTAATTTGCATATCTTGCTGATTAGCCAATGGGAAGGGTAGCGGTCAAATACCAATTACCATGTTTCTCTTTTATTAGTGTAGATATAGATAGAAAAAAGCCAATTCAGAAATATAAAGAACCTACTGTTGGAGATTAATATTCCTGTCTCTCAATGTTGTAGGAGCTTAAGAGAGACAGGGATTGGTAGTAACTCACCAAGAAAACTCTATTTAATAAATACTTATCTATATATCTTATAAATGAAAGAATTTCAACATACCTTTTTCATAGTCAAACAACAGGTGAGGTCATGATACACCACAGGCACAAAATCTTTTGAAAGATGTACATCAAATTCCACAAAGGCTGCACCCTGACAGAAATAAAGGAAACAAGTATTTTAAAAAATTTTATCTAGCTCACAATACATATAAAACTAATTAAGGACATAAAAAATCTATTGTTCACTATAAAATCATAGACTTGTACAAAAATAAACAAACAACAAAAAACTTTTACATGAATTTAATGCCACACTTTAAGCTTTATCCTAAAAAGTAATTTCTTCTCTTAAAACCATTATAAGTATTTTCCTTTTTCAATAGCACAACAATTGTTTCCTGGAATCAAAATAGGAAAGGAAAGGTCTTAATGAAATCCTCTCTCAAAAAGCAGACCCCTGCAAGTTCTCTAACAGGGATCTTCATGTGTGTGTGCCCTGAACAGGGATCGAAACCGCAACCTTGGCTTCTTGGGAAGAAGCTCTAACCAACTGAGCTACCCGGCCAGGGCTAATTCCATTGTTTTCATCTCAGTCTGCACCATAAATCTAAATACAAATGTCTACAGATGCTTCACTGTAGAAACATGTTCAGAAGAAGCATAAATACTCACCCTTTAAACCTATTAATGCAGACTGGAGATTTCCCAGACCCACATTTATCTACTTTTCTACCTTTGAACCACAACAGTTCAAAGTTGTTTGAAGAAAGAGAGGTTCACTTACATGACTAGCAGCATTTCTTAAAGAAGCAATAGTATTTTCTTGAACTTTAGCAAGCCTAAAAGAGAATACATAGAAATATAGTTATCATACATTATAGAGAAGATTAAAAAAACAAATATAATAAAGAAGCCAGCTATATATTCAACAATGGTAACAGTCCTTATTCTCTACTTTGCGATTAATTTTGCCATCCCCAAAATAAGACTGTGATCATCACTTAGTTGGTGTGTACATTTATTCCATAAATCATAAGTGTTTACAAGCATATCCTATGTCAACCCAACCTCCCCAAGTGAGGTGACCAATTAAGGAAAAGAACCCTTGAATGGCATGAAGTAGTAGAGACACAGAAACTTGCTCCTTGTGATGAAGCCTCAGATGACTTAATACTGGCAGACAGGGGCAATGGGAAAAGGCTGACACACCAACAGGGTGGAAGTATGGAAAGTATATTGAGAACAGGTGAGGAAACAGACCAAGAGAGGGCAACATGCCAAAAGTCAGGACCACAATACAGACACACTGATGTCATCTGGCTGACTCATTTGGCATTAAGCTTTTCCCCTAGCTTTCTAGTTTGTTTGTTTAATTTAATAACGTATAGTTGGTATACAATATTACATTAGTTTCAGATATACAACAGTGATTATATTTATGCCTTGTGATATGATCACCACAATTACTTATTATGGTATTATTGACTCTTATTCCCTGTCCTGTACATATCCCCCAGGCTTATTCATTTTATAACTGGAAGTTTGTGCCTGTTATCACCCTTCACTTTTTTCATCCTTTCCCTCACTCTCCTCCCCTGTGGAGGCTGGCTTTCTTACCATCAATCACCAATTCAGTAACAAATTAAAAAAACACTTAACCAGAATCATAGAAGAGAGTTAGTGTCTAGTTCAGGGGTGGGCAAACTTTTTGACTCAAGGGCCACAATGGGTTCTTAAACTGGACCGGAGGGCCGGAACAAAAGCATGGATGGAGTGTTTGTGTGAACTAATATAAATTCAAAGTAAACATCATTACATAAAAGGGTACGGTCTTTTTTTTTAGTTTTATTCATTTCAAACGGGCCGGATCCAGCCCGCAGGCCGTAGTTTGCCCCCGGCTGCATTAGAACCGTGGCGCTGCTCAGCGCCTCGAAAGAAGCTCCGGCTGTTGTTGCTGAGCCCAGGCCCTGGGGTCTGCCCCTCTTTGCCCACATCCTTGGCCCAAGAAATTAAAAAGGCCATGATGAGCTCAATTACATTTAAATACCACTCAAACTAGCTTTATCAATCTCTATAAATAGGAAAGAAATCAACAAGTCAAAACTAATTCAAAGTAAAGCTTCCAGAAAATTCAATAGATGTATCTTGTTGTTATATTAATGTTCTAAGACAAATCATTAATTTAATCTTTAACATTTTCAAAAGCCCAATTTGAAACTAATAAAAATTTTAACTTAACCTCTGCTACTTTGTAAAGGGCCACCCTGAGTCTCCTGGCTTACCTCTTACTTTGCCTATAGTTTGTCTGGAATTTCTGCTCATGATAGGAAGAGTGAGGACTCCAGCACTTTTCCCACTCTCATCAATGGTAGATGATAAGAGGCATGCTGTACCCACATGTCCAGGAAGAGTATCACCCTGAACTACATGTTCACCGAGATCTTCCTGAAAAAATGAGGTTTAAAATAATCTGAATTCTTATACTTTAATATTTTCCATTTAAAGATCAAAAACCTCTATGGAGGAGGATCAATAAGAAATACAATCAAATTTATATCTATGTAACTCTTAGAGCATTTTTTGGTAGTAAACAATACATTTTTTTTTGGTATATGTTTTAAGACTTTATGCTAGTGGTTCTCAGCCTTCCTAATGCCGCGACCCTTTAATACAGTTCCTCATGTTGTGGTGACCCCCAACCATAAAATTATTTTCGTTGCTTACTTCATAACTGTAATTTTGCTACTGTTATGAATTATAATGTAAATATCTGATAATGCAGAATGTATTTTCATTGTTCGCGACCCACAGGTTGAAAACCGCATAAAGTTTATGCGTTACTTTATTAATCATTAACTCTGCTGATTTGCACTTCTGATCCTCTAATACGTATTAGGTGAATTTGAAGCACTAATTAAGTTACTAAGTAGCACTAGCTGGTTTTGCTCAGTGGATAGAGCCTTGCACTGTGGACCAAAGAGTCCCAGGTTCAATTCCAGTCAAGGGCACATACCTCGTTTGCAGGCTTTTACCCAGCCTGGGCCCTGGTCAGGGCACATGCAGGAGGCAACCAATTGATGTGTTGCTCTCACATAGATGTTTCTCTTTCCCTCTCTCTTCCAGTCTCCCTAAAAATCAATGGAAAAATATCCTAGGTAAGGATTAACAAAAAATAAAATTAAAAAAATAAAGAAAACCTATATAAATAGAGAGATACACATGTTCATGTATTGTGGGGCCCAAAACCTTAAAGATTTAATTTACCCCCAAATGAATCTATATGGTTAATGCAATTCTAGTATTTTTATATTCAAAGACTAAGGTACACTGCCCTAGCTGATTTGGCTCAGTGGATGGAGCACTGGCCGGAGGACTGAAGGGTCCCAGGTTAAATTCCAGTCAAGGGCACAAGCCTGGGTTGCAGACTCAATCCCTAGTAGGGGCATGCAGGAGGCAGCCAATCAATGATTCTCTTTCATCATTGATGATTCTATCTCTCCTTCTCCCACTCTAAAATCAACAAAATATATCCTATATAATAAAGAGCTAATATGCTAATTCGGACCAGACTGTCCGAATGACTGTCCAGATGACCTTCCAGATAAAGCTGGGGCTATGAGAGCTGAGGCATCCTGGGTTAGGAGCTGTGGTTAGGGGCAATCAGACAAGTGGTAAGGGGTGATCAGGCAGGCAGGCAGAAGGGTTAGGTGCGATCAAGCAGAGGTAGTTAGGGGTGATCAGGAAGGCAGGTGAGTGGTTAGGGACGATGAGGCAGGCAGATGAGTGGTTAGGAGTCGGAAGTCCCGGACTGTGAGAGGGATGTCTGACTGCCAAGTTAGGGCCGATCCTGCAGGAATCCCACAGGGCCTAAACTGGCAGTTGAACATCCCGAGGGGTCCCAGATTGCGAGAGAGTTCAGGCTGGGCCGAGGGACTCTCCTCCCCTCCCTACCCCCGTGCATGAATTTCTTGCACTGGGCTTCTAGTCCTATATAATAAAAGGGTAATAGGCAAATAGACCAAATGGCAGAACAACCAACCAACCAACCAATCCAAGCATAATATGCTAATGATACGCTAAGGCTGCTCAACTGCTCACTATGATGTGCACTGACCACCAGGGGGCAGACAGTCAACTGGTCGTGGAGCTGCTATGATATGCAATGACCACCGGGGGCAGATGTTCCAACTGATAGGTTAGCTTGCTGCTGAGATCTGGGCGATTGGTATTGAGTGAGATGGGCTGGACATGCCCTGGAGCCTTTCCACGGTCCCTCCCCGGCCCAAATGTGGACCAGTGGGGTCCCTCAACCTGGCCTGCACCCTCTCACAATCCAGGGCCCCTTGGGGGATGTTGGAGAGCCGGTCTCAGCCTGATCCCGCAGTCCACTCCCCTTGGGAGGGTGCCAGACGCAGGGCTCATGTCTGACAAGCACTGCTGTGGCAGCGTGAGCCTCTCCCAATGGGGACTGATTGAATGCAAGTCCACATCACGCACAGTGGGGCCAGGATAAGCAATGAGCGGGAGCAGCAGGTAGGAGCTTCAGGTGTCGTTAGACTGTGGCGTGGCAGGCATAGCATGGCCAGGATGACTGGGAGTGGCAGGTAGGAGCTGCAGGTGGCGTTGGACTGCAGGATTTGGCCCAATCCCTGCAGGCCACCCAGAGGGATCCCACCCGTGCAAAAATTCATGCCCCGGGCCTCTAGTATACATATACAAGACTAAGGTATACCTGTAGTGAGCTTTTAATGTATATTATCTATACTAATAAACAGATAATATGCTAATTAGACCAGACATCTTCTAGACCTTCCAAGTGTCCTCCAAACAAAGCCATGGTGGCAGGGCCAAGGCAGAGGCAGCTAGGGGCGTTCAGGCTGGCAAGGGAGAGCAGTTAGGGGAATCAGGCCAGCAGGGGAGAGCAGTTATCGGGCCTAAACTGGCAGTCAAACATCCCCCGAGAGGTCCTGGATTGAAAAGGTTGCAGGCCTGGCTGAGGGAACCCCTACCCCCCATGCATGAATTTCATGCACCAGGCCTCTAGTATTCTATAAAAACACATCCACACAGATGACATAAAGGGATGGTAACTCTCCAGGAAATTGAACACTCTGAGATTACATTGAGTATTTTTTTTTTTAGCAGCCTAGTTAATGAATAAAATATTATTTCCAAAACTGCTAACCAAATGAAAGGGAAGTTAGACTGCTCAAGGGATTACTGAAAGGTAGGTCCTGCCCAGCGGGTGTAGCTCAGTCGTTGAGTGTCAACCCATGAACCAAGAGGAACCCAGGTCATTTCCTGGTCAGGGCACAAGCCCAGGTTTCTGGCTCGATCCCCATTGGGGGGCATACAGGAGACAGCAGATCATGATCCTCTCTTATCATTTATGTTTCTCTCTCTCCCTCCCTCCCTCCCCTTTCCTTTCTGAAATCAATAAAAATACATTTTTTTAAAAATAAGAAAACATTCAACCAAAACTTTATATTTTTATAATAAAATCCTACAGGTCATATTACTTAGGTAAGACCTAACTATAGTTTTCTTTTTAAAAAGATAAAAAGTATTTTTAGTTATTTTTTGGGGAAAATACTGTAAATTCCATCTAATGCAAAGTAGCTAAAAAGCCACTCACAAAAGCTATGTCTAAAGGAATCATCAAATTAAACAATTCAAAGATTATAATTTTAATTACACACAACAAATGTTACTCATTGGGTTTAAATCCATTCTGAATTGTGCCATTTTCAAGAAACCATGGCTACTTGCTACTGCTGAGCAAGGCACATACCCTACTCTCAAAGATTTAAACTTTAGAAAAGTAAAAATGGGAGTGAAAGTGCCAAAAAAAAAAAAAAAAAAAAGTAGGGAAACTGATACATATAACTACTGACCATGAGCAAAAACAGAAAACAGAAATCTACGGTGGATACACAATATCTATTAATGGGATTAAGCATTACACATAAAATTAAGATAGAAATCGAATGGCGTGAGGATTGGGTCAAGATTGCTGTAGAGCAGGGGTGGGCAAACTTTTTGACTCGAGGGCCACAATGGGTTCTTAAACTGGACGGAGGGCCGGAACAAAAGCATGGATGGAGTGTTTGTGTGACCTAATATAAATTCAAAGTAAACATCATTACATAAAAGGGTACGGTCTTCTTTTTTTTAGTTTTATTCATTTCAAATGGGCCAGATCTGGCCCGCAGGCCGTAGTTTGCCCACGGCTGGGATAGAGGGTTGGCCTGAGGACTGAAGGGTCCCGGGTTAAATTCCAGTCAAGGGCACATGCCTGCCTCTGTAGTTCCCCAGTTCCCTCAGCTCCCGCAGCTGCCCAGGGCCAGCCCGAGGTGCAGGCAAGCCTCGGATGGCAGCAGCCCAGCTGACTCCTGAGCCGCAGGAAAGCCTCAGATGTCGGCTGCTCAGCCGCCCAGGGCCGCCCAAAGCTCAGGTAACCAGAGCCGGCTGAGGCTTGTGCTGCCAGCAGTGGCAGCAGCAGAGGTATGATGGGGCAGCGCCTTCCCGATTGCTAGGTCGCCTCCTGCCCGAGGGCTCCTGGACTGTGAGAAGGGGCAGGCCAGGCTGAGGGACTGCCCCCTCCAGTGAATGAATTTTCATGCGCCGGGCCTCTGGTTCTTATAATAAAATGCCTCAATAAACCATAGACTTTGGCCATAAAAAGGGCTCAATCATGCTAGTTTCATCAGGTTGCCCAACAACAGTTGTATTTAGAACAGACACAGACATCAAGACATCTGATCTTTATTTGAAACCAATTTTGCTGAAGTTCTCAATTATATTCTTAATTAGAGGCCCGATGCATGAATCCGTGCACGGGTGGGGTCCCTCAGCCTAGCTGGTGATCCGGGCTGATTGGGGCCAGCTGGCCGGCAAGGGGGAGGGACCGGCCTGCATTGAGCGTCTGAACCCTGGTGGTCAGTGTGCGTTATGCGACTGGTCAACTGGTTGTTCAGTTGACCGGTTGTAACAGTCGCTTATGCTTTCATATATATAGATATATAGGTAGTACTTGTGTCTGTCAACTCTTAAGTTTTTTAAGCCTGCCAAAATATATATAAGATTAAACATCTAAAATGCTGTACAAATCATGGGTTTATATAAATCAGACTACAATAAAAATGAAAACATACACAAAAGTTCATGCCTACATTCCTTCTCAACCCCCTCAAGTTAAAGAATTACTCACCTCAAAAAAATCAAATATTAGTTCCAAATTATCTGGTTCCATTGTCTGTATGCTATATTCTGTCCAACGATCAGGCTGTAAGCCATACCCACAATCCGGCTGTGAATGCTTGCACTTGAACTCAGTGTCACTTATCAAGGATATCTCCAGGGTATTGGACATTTTGTGAAGAACAGTGGGAGACACCCTATCATCATCATCTTCCTCCAGACCCTCTAGTGTCAGCTTCACTCTAAACAAAAGGAAAAAATAATGAATTTCAAAAAGTGGAACTAAGGGAAAACTCATAAAAATGTTATCTAAATGCTAAAATTTAGAAGTGCTCCCTGAATATGCAAAATCTTCAAATAATAAAATACAAGGTGGAGCAAAAGTAGGTTTACAATTGTGAGTACATGAAACAGTTTATTTTTTATTATTATTTATTAATATTTTCCATACAGCAACTGTAAACCTACATTTGCCCTACACTGTGTATTATATAAAGACTACACACACTATAGGTTAAGGCAG